GGCAATTATGAATAAAGCTGCTATAAACATCTGTGTGCAGGTTTTTGTGTGGACATAAGTTTTCAACTCCTTTGGGTTAATATGAAGGAGTATGGTTGTGGATCATATGGTAAGAGTAAGTTTAGTTTTATAAGAAACTGCCAAAGCTGTACCATTTTGAATTCCCACCAGCAACGAATGAGAGTTCCTGTTGTTCCATATCCTTATCAGTATTTGGTATTGTCAGTGTTCTGGATTTTGACCATTCTAATATAGGTGCAGAGGATATTTTCAAATAGGGTCTACCATTTCTTGCATGGATTAAGTCCACACTGGGGGACAAGGAGCTCTGTCTAGGGGACTAGATTGAGTCATTCTTTGTTTCCAGAAGTGCTTCAAATCTACTGAATGGAAAACGTCTTCACCTGGCCTATTCTAATCTCCAGTCCTATGATGTGCAAAATGTTTCTTTAGGAATTTTTCAATAAGTGTCATTTAAGAAATAATACTTTGTTTTTCCTCTTAATCTTAGATGTGAATTACTATGTATCTTTTGCCTTCTCAAAAGGAAATTTCAGGATCTTCAGCTGCACCTCCTATCACATGCAAATTTCCTCCTTGACTTCAGTGTCTGTTAGAATTCTCACTGTATTTGGGGTCTGCACTTGATCTCACCTGTAAACATACAACAGTTTAAGGTTTTCCTTTTTAATCCTATGTATTTCTCAATCTTTCTCATTAATGCATCTAACTAGTGTCCTAGATTGCTTTTGTGACAGTAAAGGGCATTACTAGTAAATGAGTGGGTTTCAATTGATTTGCAGTGCATTTTGTCTTCATCTTTAAATCTTGGGCTTATTTTTCAATTTGTCATTATAATAAGGGGTAACGTTTGTGGATTGCTTACTTTGTGCTACATACTAAATTCTTTACGCGTGGTATCTTGGTGCTTGCAACTTTGTAAGATACCATTATCCCCATTTTTACAGATTAAAGTACAGCCTTGAAAGGTTAAGCAATTTGCCCAGCTTGTGAATGGGGGAACGTAGAATTTGAGGCTCTTACCTCCAAGCTCATATACTTAAACCAGCTTTACAGATTAAAGTACAGCCTTGAAAGGTTAAGCAATTTGCCCAGCTTGTGAATGGGGGAACATAGAATTTGAGGCTCTTACCTCCAAGCTCATATACTTAAACCAGCTCATTAGTAATAGCCTCAGTTTTTTATTTGGTCATTTGGCCTCAGTTTTGAAGCACTTGTTAAGTGCCAGGCTCAGGAGAAGTGTATGAGCACTTAGGCACAGTTGTAGCCCCATCACTCAGTGATGATGATGCTGCTGAGTGGCTCAGTGTCATAACAGCTGCAAGAGCAGTGTAGCAAAATCCTGCGCTCAGGGTTTGGTTAACTTTGTTCATGATCTCTGGATTGCTGTGCTCTGTGCCTGAACCTATATGCTTTGATCAAACTTGCCAATCTCATGGGTGAAGAACATGGCATTTTGTTGTAGTTTGAGTTTGCATTTTTCTTATCAGGAAGGGGGAGAGAGGGTTCTGGATCCCAGATGCCAGATAAGGAACCTGGGGCTATGAGAGGTGAAATGTTGAGTTATCCAAGTCACACAGCTAATTGTGCAGCAGAACTGGGGTTAGACTCAGTGTTGCTGCCCTGCAAGGCTGTTAAAATGAGTCAGCAGAAGCAAACCTTAAGTGACTTCTCAATGTAAATCATCAGTGGCCAGCTGTGGTAAAATTAAATTCTGGAGTGGATCCTTGAGGGGTCCTTGCCTACCTGATGGCTATGTGGCTATAGCCCTGGGGCAGACAAAAGACTATGTAAATGGGCAACTGAAGAGTAAGTACAGTGCATTCTCCCGAGGAAACGAAGTACACAGAAGAGAAGGATGTGAAGAGCCAAGAGAGCTGTACTCTTTACGGTTGGATATATTTTTTATGAATTTTTTTTTGGGGGGGTTCATTCGTGATATACTTTGCTCCGTTTTCATAAGTTGGTGATTTTTCACTTATGTAAGATAAATGTATAAAATTGTGGATTTAATTATGAAGAGTGGTTTCACATCTAAGTTTCAGTCATTTTCTCTTACCTCTGTGTCAGTGTACAGAATGCTAAAAGAATTTTTTAAAAAAAGACAGAAGAGGAAAGGATGAGCATCTTTTCATTTTTCTAAGTAATTTCTGTTCATATCCTTTGTTCTTGCTGTGTTTTAAAAGAAGACAACTGCAGTTTGCTTCATTTAGTAAGCAGTATGGCTTCATCTTTAGTTTTCCTTTCCTGCAACAGGCACCAGTTCCCTGTCTCAGACATACATGCCTTCCCATCAATTAACATGGTCAACACAGTGAACAAGTTTATTGCACATGTACTGGTTGTAGCCTCGGATCTGTTTCTTTTTCTATGTCTTATTTACATTAAATTGAGTGGGATAACACATTTAAATGAGAAAAATATAGAAACCAGCCTCATTCATTTGAAATGAATGGTTGTGGTCCATTGTAATCACATTTATATAAAGAGGTATATCAGTCAGGATAGGTTATGCCATGGTAATAAACAATCCCAAAATCTCGGTGACTTTTACAACATGGTTTATTTCTGGCTTGCTGAATCAGCAAGTGGTTTCTGCTCTCTGTAGTTTCTCAGAGACCCAGGCTGGGAGGGACTTTATCTCCACCTGAGTTTCCATGATTATAGAGGCAGGGAAAGGAGAACCTGATGAGTTTTGCTTTGGCTTTTAACACCTGTACCAGAAGTGACTCATGTAATTTTGCTCATCTCATTGGCCATGTTGCCATGACTGGTTCAAAAGGACAGAATAACAGGATCCTACTATGTGCACAGACTGAAGGAACCAAAAACTTACAAATCCCAAACGCCCACTGTAGGAAGAGTTTAACATCTTCTGCACCTCAAATGTCAGAACTCCTTAGAATACATTGAGCAAATATGGGATTTGGTGGTGTCTTAAAAAGAGAAAACTCTGTAATAATAAAAATAATTGTTACAGGTGAAAACAGCTTTTTTTTTTTTTGTCCTTTTTTGAGACTGGCCGCACCACGCTCAGCCAGTGAGCGCTGTGAGCGAACTGGTCATCCCTATATAGGATCCGAACCTGCGGCGGGAGCGCTGCTGCACTCCCAGCGCCACACTCTCCTGAGTGCGCCATGGGCTCGGCCCAGGTGAAGACAGCTTTTAGCTTCTCAGATCCATGGAGAAAGTCCATTACCATATTATCGATAAGCCATCAAGAGCCGTGTCTTCAGGACTGGCTGGGAGTTGAGGCTGGGTTATGTCTGTAATACGATGCACTGTTTCCTGCACTTTGCCCATGTTCGTTTTCTCTTTGCTGCAACTATCAGTTTATTCTCATCCTCTGTTACAGTATGTGAGTAAGGTGGCCTCCTCAATTCTTTTGTGTGTGTGTGTGTGTGTGTGTGTGTGTATGTAGTCATAAGCACATTTTTCAAATTATTTTCTGTACTTTCCCTTTTTTTTTAAGGTGTTATATGCTTCCTAAATAATGTTTTAAGATATTTCTTGATGATCTCCAGTTATATCTGATTTTTTAAAGATGTAGTTTCATTGAATTTGAGATTTCATGTAGACCACAGGCTTCGGATGAAAAAATATTCTTGTTTTCCTTCTCATCCCTTTACCTCCTGCATAACCTCAGTATGTTTTAGAGGTGGGATCATTTTCTTTCTTTATAAGAGGAAAGCTATCATGGCGCTGAGGGCATATGGTCCAGGGGCCAGCAATTCTGACACATGGTTGGAATGCAGTTGGCATTGGATGTTTTTCCAGACTGCCTGCCTTGTTTTAGGCACTGTGGAAAGTGCTGAAGACAGCAGAGGTGAAGAAGATAGTCCCTGCCCTCAAGTTGCAGAGGCGCCCTGTGTGGGGGCTGAGGGATGGGGGGAGGGGCATGGTACCTGCCTCCCTTAGAGTGGGTGCTGGGCTGTCACATGTGAGGAAAAGTTAGCAAGGAAGGGCATTAGGGTGAGGGGCAGTGAAGGGCAGGTGAGAACCACTCTGTTGTTAACAAACAACATTTGAAGCCAGGGTATTAAGAAATGGAGGCCTTCGAACGACTCTTTAAGAAGCATGGGCTTTACCCTGTAGGCTTTGGGTAAATGTTTGTGTGAGTGAATGAGCTAGTTACATGGATTGTTCTACCATAATGTCAGATGCTCTGTTTTATAAGGTGAAGTCATCAGGAGCCTTCCAGCCATGGCTCGACCCATGGTTACTCAATGCCATGAAGAACAGCATGGACCTGTTCCTGCTCCTGACTGTGTTCCTGGGGCACAGCATGTACCCAAGGATGTTATAACACAGACAAGTCATGTGTCCTGTGCTCAGAAGCCTAGCTAGCACATACTGTTGCTCCGTCCTAACAGGGTGGTGGCATTTTTCTCCTGTGGAACACAGGTCCTTCCCAGCACGATCCCTGACTGGTGGGGAGGCCAGGAGTCATAGCCTGGAAATGTGCCCCCCATCCATCTTTTCTGGATGACCCCCCCCACCCCCCCCGAGCCACCTGGCTGTGAAGCTGAGCTGGGAGAAAGATGGGATAATTCAGAACTCTTCCTCTCCCTGAGCAAAAACCCAGGGGCTTCCCTGGGGCACACATATGGGTCTTCTTAGGGGTGGGAGGCTTCCTATGTCTGATACAGGCTGTGTTCTACTCAGTCTTGTGTGTAAACTCGTGGCTTCCCAAGATGTAGGAGCACACAGTCCTCCCCTGTGCACAGGTCCCAAGAGCAGCTGGCCTGATAGTGACAAAGTGATCTGGTGCCAGCCTCATTCCCCACATTGCCAGGGCTTCCCCGGGCACCCATGCCCCACAGCCTGGCCCTGGGTCCTCCATGAGCAGTCCCTCTGTCCTCTTGTCCTATATGTCTCTTTCTTAACAGCGCCCCCCTTTGTGGTTTTCCTGGAAGACGTACTTTCAATTGTAAATGTCGCCGCCTTCTTCTTCCTGTGTTTTTCCTCTTGCTTTACAGGCTCTTCAGAGTAACCTGAGGTATTCCTTGTTGCCAAGACGGCTCCTTATCAGCAAGAGATTAGCCCAGTGTTTGCATCCTGCCCTGCCCAGTGGTGTGCACTTAAAAGCCCTAGAAACCTACGAGATTATCTTTAAAATTGTGGGGACCAAATGGCTGGCCAAGGACTTGTTCCTGTACAGGTACAATTGCTTCTCTATGGTAGTACATTTTTATTAGGCCTACAGCACCCTGTATTCCCAGGTGGTCTCCCGTGCAAGCACTAACCAGGTTCAACACTGCTTAGCTTCCAAGGCCAGATAAGGCACATTCAGGATGGTGTGGTGTACACTGCATTATGCTTTATTACTGGAGTAATCCATATTCCAGTTCACAAAATTAGATAATGGCAAACAAGCAGAATAAGCATGGGGGACAGGGGAGGGGAGTGGTGATGTATGCCGCAGTTAGTCACAGAGCTGTCACCAGGACACAACCAGCGCTCCCATTCTGGAGCATATCTGTCCAGACTTTCCTCGAGTGTATTTAATAGGATCTGAATGTGCCCACAGCTCAGTTGCCTCCTCTTTACTCAGTAGTGTTCTGCAGCCATCTCACGTCAAGCAAACATCATATCACCAGTTTATTTTTACTTTTTAATTAATTTTTTAATGAAACATACTGATTATACATATTTATGGGTTACAGAGTTATAGTTCAATTTATATATAGTGTGCGATGATTTAATCAGGGTAATTAGCATATTCATCATTGCGAAATTTAATCCTTTCTTTGTGATGTCAACATCTGATCTCTTGTAGTCATTTGATAACATGCAGTAAATCATTGTTAATTATGGATTGCTGGTATATCACCAGTTTAAATGGCTAGCTGTTTGCTTGTTCAAACTCCCTTTGGTAAGTGGGTCGTTTGGAATTTCTGACGAGGTATCTAATCTCCCCCAATTTCTCTTCTTCAAAGCTGTGGATTATTTCCTCTACTGGCGAACGCGGCCATGTCAGTGCGGCCCGTGCTGCTTGGCCTGTACGAGAAATACTTCCTCCCACTGCAGAAGCTGCTCCTGCCCAGCCTCCAGGCCTTCATTGTTGGCCTGCTGCCTGGCCTTGAGGAGGGCTCTGAGATCTATGACAGGTGGGTGAAGGTCTTGTCCAGTGCTGACAGCTCTTGCATGTCCAGGTTTGTGTTTATAGGAGATGGGGAAGCAGCGCACAGGTGCATGAAGAGGGGAAGGTTAGGTTGATGTTTCACATTTCTCTGGTGGTCTGTACTTGACAAAGTGGTCATGTTCTCCTGGGAACCTCACTGTATGTCTATCTCAGGGGAAGCCTGAGACCTAGAGAGATGAGATCCTTTGCCTAGATGAGCATAGCTAGTTAGCAAGGGAGGCCGTAGTGCTGGGTTCCCATGGCATCCTGTCCCATCACAGAGTTACCCATACTGTCTCGGACACACACTCTTATGCCTCCATCTGTAGAGGAATGAAGGGGCCCTTCCCGGGTCCTTGCAGTGTATGTTGTACATATTGTCATGTTGAACTGCTGTGCTTTGGGAATCTGCTCCATTTACAGGTCTCCATCTGTAGAGGAATGAAGGGGCCCTTCCCGGGTCCTTGCAGTGTATGTTGTACATATTATCATGTTGAACTGCTGTGCTTTGGGAATCTGCTCCATTTACAGGCGAGGGGCAGAAGGCAGAAAGCGTTCCCAGCAGCATGGTCAGCGAGTGGCAGAGCTGGGATTCCAGCCCACATGTGCAGGATTCTGAAGCCTTTCTTTTTTCAGGTGTTCCAGTCTGCTTCTAAATCAAAAAGCAGAGCCAGGTTTATAGGTGGGCAGGGCTTGAAAAGGTGATATGGTATGACCAAAGCAGAATGTCTTACAGATTTCAACCCCACCTTGAGAAATTCATAGAGGCATATGCACAAGTTTCTGCAGGGTTTTGGGTTTTTTTTTTTGTTTGTTTGTTTGTTTTTTTGTCACCACTTAGGAATGGGAGAGCATGTGTATCTCTTCAGACTCATGAATATACAGTGTTCTTTTGTCCTGGAGAATTATAAAGAAAACTCACTTCCAGCATGTTAACTATTCCAAGAGATGCCACAGTGATAAACCTCTGTTATTTGGGCCTGTTTTAAGAGCTCATGTGCAATGACTGGTGACTATATGCTTGCAGAAGTTTCCATTTGATTACACAATGCACCGCTCACACTTCCCTGTGCCAGAGGCCCCAGCCACGTCACTTGCGGGGTTGGCTGTGACTGGGAAGTACGGGGGGCTGGGTGGAATCAAGAAACCAATCTAGGGTCCATTTAGAGTGCAACCCTTAAAGAAACCAAGCATTCAGAATGGTTTCAAGGGCTGTGGCTAGTGACCAAGGGTGCATTTCATGAGCATGTAGGAATTGACAAACCTAACCAGAAATTTGCAGTTCAACCATTTCAAGCTTTCACATAGACTGGTGGTGGCTTTCCATTTCCTGATGGAGAACCCACCTTTACAGTTGCTTCTTTAGGAGGTGGAACCTGTCTTGCTGCCATTGGAAGCCTAGCACCATGCACTGTGGCTGGCACACAGCAAGGCTCGGCAGTATGTGTCGTTAATGAGTGGTCAGGGTCACTTGGAGCACCAGGAGGACCATCACCAGGCTCCGTATCCCTTGACTCCTCATCCCAGGATCTTTCTAGAAGTTCTGCTACATTAATATTCTGATAACAGATGTGTGTGTATACATGTTTATATATGTGCATATAAAGGTTTTTTTTCCATCATCAGACAGAAAAACCCATTAGTCCACAACATTTATTACAGCCCTTTAAATCTGTAAGTGTGAATCACACTAGAAGCGTGTAAATAGTTGGAGTGTTTTTCCCTTTTTCCCTTTGTTGATAAATGAAGGTTCATCAGAACAGTTGCTAAAGTTGCCTAACATTGATGATTTTTCCCTAACGTTGTGATTTCTTGACATTGAATCAAGAGCTGAGTAAAGCTGCGTGAATCACTGAATAGATCTGGCTGCGAGAGAAAACCAAGTCCAGTATCTGCAACACCAACAAGTTGTTAGTTATCAGCTTTCCAAGGTAGATGCTGGCCAGAGGTGATACAGTCTCTGAAGTGGGTATGTTACAAGTGCAGTAGTTGAGGTGACTGCACAAGTTTTTTTTTTGTTGTCGTATCCATTTTGGTTTGAGACAGTTTGGCAACTGTTTGTTCTGCGAAGTGCTTAGGAATTGAAGGAAGCCCCCAGCAAGTACTGTTCAGAGACTGCAAATGGAGGCGGGGGGGCGCAGGGAGGTGATGATGTCCATCTTGGTAGAAATCACAAAGGGGTAAATTAGGTGGGGGTTAATGAATGTTGGGGTGACTAACATGTTTTTATGTAGGCAGACACTGTTCCTGGTTTGTGCTTTTTAGTGAACCATAAGAAAAGGAAATTTTGGCCAGCGTTAGTATGTATTATTCACTCTGGCTTTTTAACCCTTTGAGGCCTGTAAATTCCCTAGGACAGGCCAGAAATCCTTTTTTCAAAGTGCCTGTGAAATAGCTTTGTAGCTGTGTTTTGCTGTACTAAGAAAACAGGATTAGAAGGGGGAAATACTAAACTCTTCTTCCAAGAAAGTGAGGAGAGGTGAATGCTTTCAATGGTTTGCAAGAAAGCAAAAACTGGCTCACTGGAAATTTCCATTTAAATTAGTGGTTCTCAACTTGAGGGTGATTTTGCCCTTCAGAGGATGTTTGACAGTACGTGTATCGGGAGACATTTTTGGTTGTCACAACTGAGGGCAGGGCGGGTACTGCTAGCATCTAGTGGATAGAGGGCAGGGGTGCTGCTAAACATCCTACAGCACACACAGTTGCCCCAAATGTCAACAGTGTTGAGGCTGAGAAACCCTGATGTAAATAATTGAAAAGTATTTATTGATATTTCTTTTGGTTGGTTCCAGGCACCATAGTGATCTCAGCCGGTTCTAGACTTTTTTTATTCCTTCTTTGGCACTGTCCAACCTACAGTTTGTGGGACGGGGCGCTGTTGTCACTACCCTGCTTGTTCAGTTTCAGATGATCCCACAGAGCTGTGTGGTCTTGTGACACCTCGGCTTTCCATGGCTGTCCATTTGGCAAGTGGCTGCAGAGCCAAAGTCGTGAACTGCTTGGATTTTAGAGTGCCCGGCCCCATGCTGCTCACTGGCTCTCAGTTGAGTAGAGAGGAGCAGTTCAGTCATTCAAATGAGCTGTGTTTGCAGGAAACACAGAAGAACAGCAACTGGGATGAATGAAGAGGGATGAGTAGAGGGGTTTGGGAGTTTGAGGGATTCTTTTTTTTTTGGTGGTTGGCTGATTTTGAATTAAAGGTTTAGAGTTCTGGACTCTAAATTGCACACTAATTTTGTAATTTAACAAATAAGATGATCTGAGTAATTCTTATGTAGTAGAAAGTTACTTAGTTTTTACCGCCAGTTATTTTGCTCTTCCATAGCAAAAGTGTGTTGTATTTGCTGT